AAAAAAAAAAAAAAAAAAAAAAAAAGACAAATAATAATAATAATAATAAAATAACATAAAGAACAAACATTTATTTGCTTAATATTTCATTCTAGTCAAATTCTTTGAACTTCAGTTCCTGCTTACGAAGTAGCTCAAAATCATTTAGGATTTCAACAATGTTTTCTCATGTTGTTATCAACTCTGATGACAGGCTGTAACTACCTGCATCTGTCTGTTACCTGCTTTGTCCTGATCTGACACTCTTTAACTAGTATATAGATTATCTTCTTCTTTTTTTTTTTTTTGTAATAGTGGGAATCGAACTCAGGACCTCGCGCTTGCCAGTCAGGCCACTGAGCTATATCCCCGGTCCTAGATTATCTTCTTTTAACTTTTTTTCTCTTACCAGTATAAATGACACTACATCTATGATTGATTATAATTTCCTGCTACGAGTCATTGACTGTCTGTAGAAAACAGTTTCCTCCATTTTGCTTGGTGACTGGGCCCCAGTAAAATCCCCAGGCGACCTTATGAGGGAGCTCGGGTTTCTGTGTGTGCAGATGCCTGTGGAGGGGGCTCCTCTCTGTTGGAGGATGACTAGCAGCCTGTGGGTGTTCAGTAAATACTAAACGATGACAGGGTATGTATGTATTTGTGTTCATGTGTCCCTGATGCCGCTCTGTGTGTTTACAGTGTTGCCTTTGTGGAAACCTGAGCGAGTCCACTGTTGTGCACGTCTGAGAATCTGTGTAAAGTGTTTGTGTGTGTCTGTGTGTTCATATCAGGCATAGAAACGTATATTATATCGAACCGCATACGTGCTGGGAGTGTGCGTCGGTGTCTGTGCTGTGTGTGAGCATGACGTGGGCCTGGCTGGGGAGCTGTGCGTCTCTGTGCCTGTGTGCGTCTGTGCTCAGTCTGCGCAGATCTGTTGGGGACTCTCCGTGAGCATCTCGTGTGGGTGAGTAGGCTGGATCTGGTCTGGTGTGTGAGTGTGCGCATGCCTGGAGATAACCACATCCCTGCCTTCCCCTTGGGAGCAGAGGTGCCCAAGGCAGAGGTGACGCACCCTCGCTGAGCTCCCGGTTCTCCTGGGAACTGGCTCGAGAGAGAGACCCAGAGCAGACTGCGTCAGGAGCCCCGGTCCCTTTTGCAACCAGCCCTGGCCCCAGGCAGTAACCACTGCTAGGCTGGCACAGGTCAGACCTGCCCATTACAACTTGGCTGCCAGGAAACCTGCTCCAAGCTGGGCTGCATCGGCAGGGCCCTCCTTGGGCCTGAGCCAGATCCCCTGATGAGCGGAACCAGTGGAGGGCCACATGAGTCACCATGTAGCAACAGCAAGGATTGACTTCCTGGACCTGGGCATTGCTACTTTCTGCCCCTGTGTGCAGCAATACTTAGGCAGTCTTCACCCCTTAAAAGGTAGGCCAGATGGCTTTTATTAGCCCCAGTTCTCAGATGAGGAAACCGTAGCGCAGAGCAACAGACCAAGGTCAAGGCAGAGCCAGACTTTGAACTTGGGGTCCAGGGCTCTTCCTGTGTCCCATGTGGGGAGTGGGGTGGTTCTGCTCCTAGAAATCAAAGCTACTCCCCAGCCCTTTTTAATTTTTTATTTCTTATCAAATTGCCCAGCCGAGTGTAGTGGTTCACGCCTGTAATCCCAGCACTCAAGAGGCTGAGGCAGGAGGATCGTTGCAAGTTTGAGACCAGCCTGGGCTACAACGTGAGCTCAAGGCCAACCTGAACTGCTTAATGAGATCCAGTCTCAAAAACACTAAACAAATAAGTAAATAAATAAAAGTTGCCCATGCAGAATTTGAACTTGTGAATCTCCTGCCTCGGCCTCCCAGAGTGCTGGGATTCCAGGTATACACTTCCATGCCCAGCAGAAATTGATCTCTTAGAGCACAGAGTGCTGGGAAGCCAAGTTTCTGGGACAGTCAGGTTGCCCCGGGCTGGCGAGTGAAGGAGCCAGAGACAGAGCTGGGGCAGGCAAGGCAGATCTCAGCACTGAGTGGGCCTGACCTGCTGGTAGAACATCCTCAGGCTTTCTTTTCTAATCAGGGCTGAAATATGGACCCATAACTGGGATAACTAGAATTCCTTATCAGACTGCATGGCTGCTTTAGCAATAACCTTGGCCTATGGTTACCCTCCTGGTCTCCGGAAGGTGGGCTCAGTCATTGTCACTAGGCCCATGAGCCCATGACCAACATGCCTTTCTCCCCAGGTAGGCAGAAGATGCACTGGGGGGCTGAGGATGTAGCTTGGTGGAAGAGTGCTTGCCTAGGATGTGGGACATCCTGGGTTCAGTTCCGCTACCTCTGCACAAAGGACAAAAACCCCCAAAGCAAACATATGATTCCCTAGGACCCTGGTGGAGAGGAGCAACAGGGCTTTGGACCCTGTGTGAGCATAGGGATTCCCGAGGGCCCCTTGGGACTGGCAGGAAAGCGGACAGCACAGACCCGCCCAGTGACAGTTGATGTGTGATTGCTCCCTCTCTCGGACCTGTATTCTCTGTGGCCAGGTGCTGCTCTCTCTGCCTGAACTCCGTTCCCAGCTCCTGTACCAGCCAGCAGAGCTCATCCCTGCGACAGCAGGAGCCTCTCCCAGAGAAACGGGGACCCTGGATTCCTGGCACTGTGCACATTTCTCTCCCCTGCTTTGGCCAACAGTCTGTGTGCTCTGCGGACAACACCCTCCCCGTGAAGCCCTGGAGACTCGGCCTCCCGCTCTAGCCCCATCCTGACTTGCTGGGTGACTTTGGGTAAATTACTGCCTTTCCTCTTGTCTGAGTTTCTCCCCGTTGTGCAGCAGGGTGAATACTCTCTGCCCCTCCCTGGCTCCCAGGGGACCTGCACGGATAAGCAAGATAATCGCTGAGAACTGATTTGGAGGAAGTTTCCGAGTGCCAAGTAAGAGGTATCAGTGCTGGCCTGTGTTTACCTGGGTGTGGACTTTTGGTTCCCAGCCTCCTGGGGTTTGGGGCCAGCCCTGACAGCTTCTTGGCTTGTGGTTCCTTTGTCCCACTTCCTGAGAAAGGACAGAAACCAAAGCCAAGAGCTCAGTTGTCTGGAGAAGACAGGACTTGCTGAGCATAGAGTTTGGGGCTCTGGAACACTGCCTTCCTGGCCCAGTTTTGTGCCCCAGCTGTGTGACCTTGGGCCAGTCACTGCCCCTCTGTGGGCCTCACTTTCTCAGGTCTGACAGCTCCTCTAACTCTGAAGGCAGACGGGCCTACAGCCTTGTAATCAGAGGCTAAGAGGCTAAGGTCATTGTGTCAGGACAGAAAAGACCTGGTCATTTAGTCTAATGCCTTCAGTTTTCATATACTCCTATGGCCCTCTCTCTGGGGCAGTAGACTAACCCGAGTTAGCCTGGTTAACTCAAGGCCATAACCTGCTCGCAAGGGGGTCATTGGGAGGGGAAGGTGGGTCAGAGAAAAACCCCTGGAAAGAGACTCTGCACGAGCTAGTGGGTCAACGACAGAAACTTTTAACCCCATGGCTGACTGCAGCTCCCACCTGCCTTTAGCCTGTCCCCCCAGGTGGGTGACCTCCCTCAGCCAGGCCTCGCCTCACCTCGACATCATGATGGTTGCGCCCTCCCTCCTTGGTCCCTCCCCACTGCAGCCCTGGAAGCCTGTGGTCTCCTGGCTTGGACCCTCTCTGCTGCTGCACCTCCTGCCGGCCCTCTGACTGCAGCTGTGTCCTTTTCCTCTCCCAAGGCCCGCTCTGCCCGCCCATCTGTCTGCTCATGCTCTCTCCGGTCATCCCATCCACTCTTCTTCCAAACCCAGAGGCGCCATACTCACCAGGCCCAGACCCCTCACCTCTGAGCATGCAGGCCCTCAGCAGACCTCACCTGCCGCCAGGCTCCCCGGCCCTGCCCGGATGACCCACTGGAGTAGAACTCCCGTGCTTTTGACTTGCTCCTGACCCTGGTTGTTTATGTTCCTCCTCGATTAAAAAAAAAAAAACCTCATTCCTACTTTATACTCTGTTATCTCATAATTTATGGACGCCACTAAACTGTCTGAACCCCTTTCCCATAAGGCAAGGCATAAGCAAACAACAGCTAAGTAATGAAGTGAAATCAAGGAAGCCGGTCTCCATCTGGAACCAGGCGGCCCCTCACCTTCTGCCTGGTCGTCCTGAAACTGCCCCTCCTCCACACGGCCCTGCTTCTCTTGGTGGCATCACCCCACCCAGCCTCCCAGGATCAAGATCTGACAGCTCTGCTCACTCACGCAGTCCCTCTCACAGCCCACAGTCACCAAGTCTCACACTGGCTTCCTTCCTCAGGTGTCCGGAAGCTCCCTCTTCTTTGCCATCCCCTCTCCCGGCGCAGAGTTCAGGGTCTGGTGATTTGTTCCCCGCTCATATACTGGAATACTTTTTCTTACTAGAAAAGCAATAGATATGCACTGTGGGAAAGTTAGAAACCGCAGACGGAAGCTGGGCACTCTGACACACGCCTACTGTGGTCCCAGCTACTTGAGAGGCTGAGTGAACAGGAGCTTGGCAAGTTCAAGGCCTGTGTGGGCAATTTAGCAAGACCTTGTTCCAAAAAGTAAACAATAAAAAGGGATGGGGATTGTAGCTCTGCTCAGGGCTCCGTGAGTTCAGTCGCTGGTACAGGGGCAGAGGGACCCAGCACCTGTCATTTTATCAGTGCAAGATAATACTGTGAAGATTTGAGCAAATATCCTTCTTCAGGGTGTTGGCACGCTTTGCTAAACATACAGCCACCCCTCCTCTTTGAACTCCACAAAGGGCCTCCTTAAATCTTTCCCGGTCTGTTCTCTTGGTCTTGCTGTTCAGAGCTCCAGCTGATACGACCCTCCTCTGCCAGGTGGGGGAGGCGAGGCCAGCGCTCTCCAGAGCTTGTGTGTGTTGGGGGAAGCCAGGCAGACCCTGAGCTGAAGCTCAGCTTCCAAGCGAGGCCACTGACAGCAGCCCCTCCCTGAGGGAGCTTGAAAGCACCGTCCTGGGGCTCTTGTCCTGTGGTGACTGGGTGGGGACAGGAGTGGTCTTGTGCAATAGGGCAAACCGCTCCTCAAGCAGGGCTGTTTGCTTAAGTGGGCAGGGATGGGTTAGGGAGGAACAGCAGAACTTTTGTTAGTGTTTATTGGAAGTGTGAGGACCAGTAAGTTTGGAGACAAATCCCAAGCGTGTAGAAGGTAGAAGGGGTTATGGGGAGTAAGATGATGGGGGCCCCAAAGCTGGGTGTCTGGAGGGTCCGGGCAAGCACCTAACCATGGGCATGGCAGGCTGGGAACCACTGAGGGTCTGGCTGGCTGCAGAGGACCCCAGGCTCAGCTCCTGGCCCAGCCCGCTGCAGGATGTAGGCAGACTGTTGACAGGGCCCCAAGTTTATGCAAGAAGATAGTAATTTATATATATATATATGAATTGAATTCCTGACTATAAATCTGTAAATGCTGGCAACTAATTAAAGAAATTAAACCACTGTTTTGGGTCAGATTATGACCCAAAGGCTGCAAGTGTGCAAGTTTTTAATTTAATTTAATTTAATTTTTTTTTTTTTGCAGTGCTGGGGATTTAACCCAGAGCCTTTGCACTAAGCCACATCTTCAGCACACTTATTTATTTATTTATTTAGAGCCAGGCATGGTGACGCCCACCTATAATCCTATCACCCTGGGAAGGCTGAAGCAGGAGGATCACCAGAGTTTGAGGCCAGCCTGGGCTTCACAGTGATTTCAAGCCCAGACTAAACTGTATAGCAAGGCCCTAGCCTGCTACCTGCTCCTTCATGCCTGGGCTCATTCTCTGCTTAATCCCCAAGTGCTCATGATGTGACCGCCGCCCACCCCCCTCTTTACTCCCCTCTCATGGCTTTGAGAAAACTGAACACTTGGTGGTCTCACATGAAACAAGAGCCACGATCTCTGCTGCCCGTTTTTGCTCCCTATGATTTTGTTTTGTCTGGGACACACACAGCCACACCCATGTGCACATGGACAATTTTTCCCAATTATTTTATATTTTTTATTTATTTTTTTGGTTTTTTTCCAGTACTGGGAATCGAACTCACAACCTTGTACTTGCCAGGTAGGTGCTGTGCCGCTGAGCTAAATCCCCAGCCCCCTTTCTCAATTATTTTAATACACATGATATAAATTTATACTATGGCTGGGCATGGTGGAGCACACCTGTAATCTCAGCACTTGGAAGGCTGAGGCAGGAGGATCACTGTGAGTTCAAGTCCAACCTGACCTACATAGTGAAACCCTGTCTCAAAAAAAAAAATTTCTTTTTACTATGTTTTTTCCCTGGCACTAACTCAAGTTCCTTACTTTCCAACTGCCTTGGCTATTTCTAAGTGTCCAGATCGGTGGCCTTAAGTAGATTTATATTGTTGTGCAACCTTTTCCACAATCTACTCTCCAGAACTGTCTGTCTTGCAAAACTGAAATATTATACCATGAAACTGTCGCACCCTAAACCTCCCTTCCCACAGCAATGACCATTCTACTTTCTGACTCTGAGTGGAATCATACAATATTTGTCCTTTTGTGACTAGTTTATTTCATTTAAAATATCCTCAAGCTTCATCTATGTTGACCCATATATCAGAATTTCCTTCTTTAGAGACAGGGTCTCGCTATGCGGTCCAGGCTGACCCTGAAATCACTGTGTAACCCAGGCTGGCCTTGAACTTCCTACCTCAGCCTCCAGAGTGCTGGGATTACAGGCATAGGCCACCAATCCTGGCGGAATTTCCTTCCTTTTTAAGAACAGTAGTCCATGTACTTCTGTATGTATTCCATTTTGCATACCCATTTACCTGTCTGTGGGTCGCTACTGTGAACAATCTTGTGGTTAATATGGTGCAGATATAGCTCTTCCCATAGACCTTGCACACCTACTTAACACCTCTTGCCTGAAGCCACATCTCAACCTTCTGACCCTCCCTAGCTTGACCAGCCTCTGCTTTCCAACAGGCATATGTTGGATACTTAGTATCCACAGCAGGTCCACCATGGGGGATTCCGAGGTAAGCCGGAGCCAGTCCCTGTCGCAGGAGTCGGGCCGAGATGAGGGCAGACGTGCTGATTTGGAGCCGACATGCACAGCACAGCGTGGGGAGGACAGGGCAGCTGTGAACGTTGGCTGGAGAGCTGGGGAGGGTTTTGAGCTGGGTCACGCATAGGGTAAAGTAGGATCTTTCCAGAGCCAAAGGAGTACTTGAGGCAACTGGCAAAGCAGGGCAGCAGGCAAGAGAGTTCTAAGAGTTACTTCAGTGTGGACAGAAGAGAAGGCAGCTGGGGTCCCAGGATTAGCGCAGTTTAGGGACCATGCTGTTTGCACCTATGCTGCCTGCACGCCGGAGGATAACTCCCGGAGAGAAGGCTGCCTCTCCGCCTCCAGTGCTTGGCGCCTGGCACCTGCCTAAGATTGAACTCCCCGTAGTTAAATTGCAGGAGACAGAGCACACGGTTGTGGTGAGAGCGCCCCCTAGCGGCCGCTACAGGCTCCCGCCTCCTCCCTCTAGGGCTGACTGCCTACCGCTGTTCAACCGGGATGAGGCTTTGCCTGGCATCATCTCACGTGATCTCCACCCCTTCCCGAGAAGGTGTTCACTCCAGGCCAACAAACACTAAGCACTTACTCTTTTTTGTTTTTTTTTTTTTGTTGTTGTTTTCCGGTACCAGGAAAGGTCCGGTACCTCCCGACCTTGCACTTGCCAGGCAGGCACTGTGCCGCTGAGCTAAACCCCCAGCCCCAAGCACTTACTCTTGATCACTGTTACAGGCATTGGAATAGCTTTTGAGCCATTAATTACTCAGCGCTAGAAGTGCTTAGAGAGAACCAAGGATGGGAGACCGAGAGGCCAGAGGAGACCTGAGGAGTCCATTTTTGAGTCTCAAAGGATGGGCAAGTGCCTGGCAAAGGAGGTTAGGAAGGAGAATACAGCGCCCTCTGAAAAGGAACAGAGACAGCTCCACCCCTGCCTGCTGCACACCCATTTGTCAGGCAACTACCATTAACTGAGGTCACAGGGGCAAATGAGGTGTGCTAGAGACCAGCTCCCAACCTGGCAGGAGGACGGATACCGACACGAAGGGAGCCCCATGTGCGGGGTCCTGCTGGCAGGCAGGGGTGTGAAGCAGGGAGTGCCAGCCAGCTGGTGCTCTCCAAGTGCAGGCTTTGCACTTGAGCTGAGGGATGAGAACGCAGAGGCAGCAGTGGCAGAGAGGCATTTCCTGCCCCTCACCGGCTGCTTCCTCACAGGTGTGCGCAGATGTGCATTGGGGCTTCACACACGCACTTTCGTGTTGTTGCTCACATTGCAGTTGCTCACAGACAGCCCTAACCTCTCCTGGCTGTGGCCCTACATTGTTGGGTGTTTGATCCGGCCCTCCCAAACCTGCTCCAAAAAGCCGTGGCCTGGTGGTACACGCCTGTAATGCCAGCACACGGGAGGCTGAGACAGGAGGATCGTTAGAGTTCTAGACCAGCCTGGGTTACAAAGTGTGCTCAAGGCCAGCCTGAACTGCAGAGCAAGACCCTATCTCAAAAACAAAACAAGGATGGGGATATAGCTCAGTTCAAAGGCCCTGGGGTTAGTTACCAGTAAAACCCACACGATTTGAGGGGGGCTGGACACAGGAGGTGGCCTGAACGAATGGAGGGGAGTGGGTTGGAATGTAGCCCTTCAAATAAAAGCTGCTGAACAGGAGCCCAGAGCCTGGGGAGGAACTGCATTCCTGTGAAACCAGAGCTTGTCATTGTGCAGCATGGCAGCTGGTGACCCGGGCCACATCAGGTAAGGGCCAGGGTTTGCCAGGCATGGTCATGCACACCAGGTAATCCCTGCGACTCAGAGGCAGAAGCAGGACTGCAAGTTTGAAGCCAGCCTGGGCAACTTAGTAAAAATCTCAAAACAAAAAATAAGAAAGGCTAGGGATGTAGCTCCGTGCAATAGCCTCCTCTTCAGACCCCAGTACCGGTGGGTGTGTGTGTGCGGGGGGCAGGGGATACACAGCCAGTGGTCCAGCCTTGGCTTCCAGTCAGGGTTCGTTTCCTTGTCTCAGCTACTGAACAGGTCTGGTGAGAGGCTCAAACCATTAAGTCTCCACACTGCCCAGCAGCACCTGGCCTTCCCTAACCCCTGCTCCCAGGGACCTCTCACCCCTTCTCTCCAGTGGTCACACCTGACACAGCTCTCCACCCTCCGGACGGGGCAGGACGGGGCAGTTTCGGGAGAGGCAGGAAAACCTGCTGAACAGGCTGGCTAAAGGTGGAACTGGTTAGATGGGCAGTTTCATTTCCCCCCAGCAACCTTGTCCCCCTCCCATTTCAAAGAACAAAGGCAGAAACCCCACAAAACAAACCATCTCATCTCATTTATTTTTGCAGAGCTGGGGACTGAACGCCCAGGGCCCCGTGTGTGCTAGGTAAGCACTTTGCTGCCAAGTTGTACCCCCTGCCTCGTACACCTCCTTTTCCACAGAGTGCACTGGACCTGTGGGAAGCGGAGAAAGGGCTGGGTGAGACGCTGGGGAGCCCTGGGGCCCGCGGGTGGAGGATGCGGGGAGCCTCTTCTAGCTCTGACTGCTCGTCTAGAGTAGGCTCTGGCTGGGTACAGGCAGATAGCTCAATCTTGAGGGAAGAGGAAGGCAGCCGTCTTCCACTCCTCTCAGCCCCACAACACTAAACACAGACAGAGCACCCGCTCTCCAGTGCTGGGGATGGAACCGAGGGCCTCAGGCATGCTCAGCACACACACTCTACCACTGAGCTCTGTCCCCAGCACTCCAACGGCAGTTCTTTACAGCACAAACTACACAGGGAAGTCCTCCTCTGGACTGTGCAGAGCTGAAGGGCAGCGATGGAGGACAGGGTCAGTTTCCAACACCACCCCAGCTTCCTTCCCAGAGCCAGGGGGTGCGTAGGTAGCTCTGAACACAACAGAAACCCCGCTTCGCGCGGGTCCATCTATACAGTACTGGCTCAAGGGCTTCCTGCTGCTCCCACACCCTTGAGCTTTCTCAGGAACAACTGGCCCAAGCTCTCGGAGACTTCTCCAAGAGGGCAAAGCCCCTCTTCAGAGGCACAGAAGCCTGGGCAACAGGCAGGAGGAGTCTGGTCCCGAAGCGTCCCGAGGCTTCATGAGCAGGAAGTGCCTTGGCTCAGAGGGGCCGGGTCGTGTGATTATAGACCAGGTGCTCTGTGTCCTCGGCGGTGGAGACGGTGGAGCTGGCGGGCGTGGGCGGGGGGTGGCGGTGCCTGCGGAAGCCCTTCCTCTGGTTCTTGAAGCAGCAGTAACCCAGGACGGTCAGCACCACTACAATGCAGGTGACCAGGAGTACAGCAATCGCCACTTCCACTGAGCCTGGGGGCAGAAGGGGCAGAGTGAGTGTCCCCAAGCCCTGCCCTGTTCTGAGGCCCGCCCCAACTCTAGAGAAGGGACCAAGGCAGACAGATGCCAGGTACAGAAGCACAGGGGTACTCAATGGCTGCCCAAGAACTCAGAGGAACAGCAGTGGGTCTCAGCTCCAGATCCAAGTAGCTCTGCTTTCAAGGGGCTTGGGGAAAAGACGGGGGCTCTGCACTTCGCTGTACTTCCACCCCTCGCTGCTTCGTCATGGCGCGCTGTCCCTGTGGGGAACCTCGGGGTCCCTCTCAGCACAGCTCAGGGAGCCACAGCCAGTCACATGGAGCGGATTCCCTGAGTGACACCTACGGGTCCCACCTCGGCAGCAGCACAAGACCCAGCTTACCTACGTTGGGAATGGAGCTCTCCCGCCGCAGCCCAAACACATCCTTCTCTGCAAAGTGACGGAGGGGAGACAGTGGGCTCTCAGGGTCTGAGGTCCAGCTGCTCCCACTGCCCAGCCCCTCTGCACCACCTCTCTCACGACCAGCGCAGGATGGGAGGGGTGACCACCCCGCGTGGGACAAAGCAGGCCTTCCCTCCACACACCCTAGCCCGCCACCAGGCTCACTGGAGATGCCACGACAGGACTCCAGACACTGCTGCTCTTCCTCAAAGTTGTTCTTGTTGCCGTCACAACCACCGTAGGTAAACCGACTGCAGCGCTCACTGAACGGGTTGTAGTACCAGCGCGGGATGCTGTCCTGGCAGAGACCTGTGTCTGGCAGGTCCACGCAGTGCCCTGGCGTAAAGGGCAGGCAAAGGGGTCAGCGAGCCCCCAGGGCCTCCAGACTCTCCTGGCTGCTACCCCTTCAGGGGCTGGGGGACCAGAAACACTCCCCCTTTACGCCAGGAACACAAATCGCTGACACTAACACAGGCACAAAAGGAAACTGCATGGACTCACACATTTATTTCTCCTTCAATTTAACTTTTCTCACTGTGTTAAGGTTTGTTTTCTATCACTGTTTTAATAAAGATGAGCCTCAGGGTCTGAGCCTTGGCAGCCAAAATGTCCAGGGAAAATTTATTCACATTGTTTTACACACTGTATTTATTTTTATCATTAGTTTCAAGGTGTGGCAAATCATAGCAGTTTTCCACTTATCGTACTGGTCAGGGGTGGCAGTGGTTCCTGCCTGTAATCCGAGTAGTCTCGAGGCTGAGGCAGGATGATCACTGCAAGTCTGAGGCCAGCCTGGACTACATAGTGGGTTCCAGGCCAGCCTGGACTATACAGCGAGGCTCTGTCTCAAAACAACCACACCGAAACAAACAACCCACCCCAAAAAATCATTTATGGCGCTGATGTGAAATTTCCTTTTCAGCACATTAAGTTCAAAAGTGATTACATGATTTGCAGTGGGCATGGTGACAAGATGTGAAAGTGTCCAGCTGACTAGTGATGTTTGGCAAACAGCCACAGAAGGGCGCTAGGGAGCTCCTCCCCTAACTCTGGGCCCTCAGCCTGGAAACGTCCTTCAGGCACGGCCAGGAGGTATGAGTGAGGATGGCAATGCCAACGTGGACCCTGGCCCGCGGAGACTGGGGAGGGCCTCACCTTTGTCACTGGGCAAATGGATGTTCTGGAGCTCGTCAAAGCCAGTGATATCTGCAGGGATGAACGGTCAGGGGTTCAAGCTCACAAAGCTTTCTCCAGGGCTTAGGCGTCGGCCCTCCCCTCGTGCTGCCCACCCCTTCTCCAGTCCCAGGCCTCACATTTTTCACAGGTGGCCTCGTCGGAGCCATCAGGGCAGTCTGGGGTGTCGTCACACTCCAGGAAGCTGTCAATGCAGCAGCCATCACTGCAGCGGAACTGGGTGGGCTGGCAGCTGCCCGAACACACTGGGAAGGGGCAGGATGACATGGGGTGAGTTCAGGCTTAGGCATGGAGACGGTGCCAAGGGCCCACTGTGTGTCTGCCTGGCCCTCTCCGCCTCCCCACCTCCTTCTCCATGTAGACTGGGCACATCCCGACGGGAAGGTACTGGGTTGGCAGGGATGGGGTCTTTTTTTTTTTTTTGGTTTTCCAGTACCGGGAATTGAATTCATGACCTCGCGCTTGCCAAGCAGGCGCTGTGCCGCTGAGCTAAATCCCCAGCCCCAGGGATAGGGTCTTTGTGGCCTTCCCATACGATGAGGGGAGAGGCGGGGAGGGCGAAGGCAGGCTGGTCGGACTGATAGGACTAGACACTAGCAGGTGAAACAGGGAAGGAGGACGCCCACCTGGATGCTGCCTTTCCATCGAGGGCCCTGGGGAGAAAGAAAGAGAAGTGAGAGCAGGTGTGGCCAGGCTCTGCTCGATGAGAAGGTGGGTGGGGACGGGGACTGCCCCAGCTGCCCCCTGCCCGACACACAGACACCCGTCCTGGGGGGAGTCACCCGCGCCAGGCTGCTTCTCGAAGCCCACCTTGCACATCCCGACAGGCCAGCATGCACTCCTCCTCCCGAAGGTAGTTGTTCTTGTTACCCAAGCAACCCCCATAAATGAACCTCTTGCAGATCTGCTCTTTGGGGCTGTAGTACCAGCGGGGGAAGGCGCCCCGGCAGCGGCCCACTTTGCTGGAGGCGAGGCAGTAATCTGGAGGGGAAGAGCAGGTGAGGGGCCTGCAAGGACACAGCGGGGTGGGGCGGGTGGGCACTCCAGGTGCTACCTGCCCTCCCGCCTCACCTTCTGTCTGCTTGGCGGACAACACCGTGACTGTGACGTTTGCTGTGCCCTCTGGCTCGTCCGAGCCGGCGGCTTTCAGCTGGAACACGTAGGTGCCTTCCTTGAGTCCCCATAGCTCCAACTGGTCCAGCTCTTTCCTCTACACACAGGACCGGCCATCAGGCTGGGCACCCTCCAGGCCCTTGGGCCGTCCCAGGCCTTCTCAGCCACACACCCACCCGCCTCGGGAAGCACAGGAAGCTGGTATTAATTAACTGCATCCCCACCTTCCCTCCACCCCACCCACCCAGAGGGGACTGAGGGGGTGGGGTTAGGGGGCTGGCCAGTGTCTCACCTCTATGCTGACGCTGGCGTCACCCTGAAGGAGCTGCCAATCTGTGCTGCCCACATCCTTCAGCACCAGGGGTTCCTGGGGTTGTACCTTCAAGTCTATGCCCACCCAGGCCCTGGGGATCCGGGACCCTGGGGGAAGTGGGGGAAGCTGAGCTCTCACTGAACAGACTAGGTCTCTGCCGGGGAATAAATAGGGGAAAGGGGTGGCGGCTCAAACCACACCTGGGCCAACTTGGGACTCAACAGCCGCCTGGGCAGGTAGGAATATCTTGCTTGCCACTCAGAGACATCACGTCTGTGGTATATATATGGAAGACATCTTTATGCTGCTAAACTCACTTTCTGAAGCAAATTACTGAACAGCATGTGCCATCTGATTTCATTTAGGAAGGAGAAAGTGTGTGTGTATACTTGGAGGAGTAAGCTTGTTTCTATTTTCCAGCACGTACTTGTGCGAACTGCTTTGGAAGTTAAAGTAAACTGGCTGGGTGTGGTGCTGCACACCTGAATTCCCAGCACTCCGAGAGGCTGAAGCAGGAGGACTGCCAAATTCAAGTCCAGCTTAGGCAAGTTAGTGACTTAGCAAGACCTTGTCTCAAAATATAAAATAAAAAAGATCTGAGGATTTTTTTTTTTTTTTTTGTCTTTTTGAGACAGGGTCTTGCTATGAAGTTCAGGTTGAGCTTGAGCTCACTTTGTAGCCCAGGCTGGTCTTGAACTTGCAAGGATCCTCCTGCCTCAGCCTCCCAAGTGCTGGGATTGCACAGGTCTGAGGGTTGTTGCTCAGTGTGAAGACCCTAGGTTTACTGAAGAGAAAAAGAAAAAAAAAAAGTAAACTGGGCACGGTGGCACATGCTTATAATCCCACTTATTCAGGAGGGTGAGGCAGAATGCTCCAGCAAGAAGATCTCAAGCTCAAGGCCAGACTGGACAATTTAGTGGGACTGTTTCAACACAAAAAACTAAAAAGGTGATGTAGCTCTGTGACAGAAGAACCCTAAATTCAATCACCAGTACCAAAAAAAAAAAAAAAAAGTTAAAGTAATAATTTATTTAAAAGCAAAATAAGGAAATGTGTGATTAAAACTCACTGCAAAAAAAAAGCAAAAAAACTCACTCACTCACTCAGTTAAACTACATCATACAGAAAAGAGGCAGTGGCCATGAGAACCGGCCACCTCAGACAGACTCTGCCTCTGGTTACGAGGTGGTCACACCCTTCCTCAACCTGACATCCTGCGCCCACAGCTTTCTCAGCTCAGGGTGAAGGCATGGCACAGGGAAAACAACACAAAGCAGGACTTCTGTCTATAGCAGGTTGAACCGTGGCCCCTAAAAGCTGTGTCCATGGCAAACCCCTGGAATCCAAGAATGTGACCTTATTTAGAAAGACTCTTTACTGAAATAAAGTAAGGAATTTCCAGATGAGAGCAACCCAATAGCTGGGGAGGTCCTAAATCCAATGACTAATGTCCTTAAAAAAAAAAAAACAGAAGAACAGAGTGAAAGAGACTATCACATGATGACAGGCAGGGACCCAATGTTGGGGCCATAAGGCAAGGACACCAGAAGCAGGAAAAGACAATAAGGGTTTCATTCCTAGTCTTTGGGGCAGTGTATTCTTGGCAACACCTTGATTTTACACTCTGGCCTCTAGAACTTCCAGAACCATGAGAGAACACACTTGGGTTTTTTGGGTTGGTGTTTTTTGTTTTTTGTTTTTCTTTTTTTTGGTCTCTTTTTTGAGACAGGGTGTTGTTATGCAGTTCAGGCTGGCCTTGAGCTCACTTTGTAGCCCAGGCTGGTCTCGAACTCACAATGATTCTCCTGCCTCAGCCTCCTGAGTGCTGGGATTACAGGCATGCAATACCACGCCTGGCTATATTTTGGTTGTTTTAAACCACTTGGTTTGTAGTTATTTGTCACTGCAGCCCTAGAAAATTAATATAGTTCCTGGCAAGGACTATAGTCCAGGGGCAGAAAAGATCTAACAACATGAAGCCGGGTGTGTACAAGACAGGACAGCGGACACTGAGTGAAGGCAAGAGACCACCGCAGGCTAGGGGAAGAAGGAAAGAGTTTCTGGAGGACTTTTGAGATAAGGTCTTGCTAAGCAAGTCACTAAGTTTTCCAGGATAGACTTGAACTTGCAGTCCTTCTGCCCCATCCACCCAAACTGCTGAGATAACAGGTGTGCACTACCAGACCCAGGTAGGGAGAATTTAAGATACTTTTTTTTTGGGGCTGGGGAGATAGCTCAGTGGCATAAGCGCCTGCCTGGCAAGCGCAAGGTATTTTTGCTGGGTTGGTAGTGGAGAAAAATATGGGGTGTGGCTTATGACAACAGAAAACATGCAAAACCAAAGCAAGCAACTAGGGATTTGTGAGGCTAATGGGACAATAAAGAGACCAGCCAGGCGGGGACAAATCTCCAAGGGCCCTACATGGCAGGCCAGGGTATTTGGGCAGACCAGAAGTTAACAGTCAAATATTAAGTAGCTAGTGGTACAGGGGGATAGACACTGACTGTGAGCACAGAAGCAGAATCCTGGGGGCCTGGCAGCAGCAGTGACCTCCGAGAGGCAGAACCAGGTCCACACGGCCTAAGGGAGGGGCCTGGGGCTGGAAGTAGGGAGCTCCTGCTTGGGCAGCGGCTGTTCAGACAACTGTTTGGAAGGGTTTCTGTGCAGGAGGCCAGCGAGGGGAGTGGTGCAGGGCAGATGCAATCGGAGGGGTCCAAATCGCGGGGCAGCCAGGGGAATGGCAAGGAAGGAGCAGGCGAGAAACTCCAGCAGGCACATGCCTCAGGCTTCTCACGACAGGCTCTTCAGTAAGTCGAGAAGGAAGAACTCAGGCAAAGGCAGAGAAGAAACCAGATTTAGAGGGAAGGTGTGGGTTCCCTCATAGAGAAGCTGCATTTGAAACAAGAACAATCCCCAGCCGGGTGTGGTGGCACACACCTGTAATCCTAGCACTTGGGAGGCTGAGGCAGGAGGATCACTGCAAGTTCTTAAGGCCAACCTGAATTGCATAGTGAGACCCTCAAAAAACAAAAACAAAAAGCAGGGACCCCATCTGTATAGGGTTTGGCACACTATGGCCTTTGGGCTGAATCTGTTATGTTTTTAAATGTATGAAGGAATAATCTTTTTGTGGCATACATCTATATATCTAAGTGCGTGTGGTATAGCTTAGTATTAAGAACATTTGCCTAGCATGTGCAAGGCCCTGGGTTCAATCCCCAGGGCTGCCAAAAAAAAAAAAAGACACCTGCAAGCTGAAACACAGGCAGGCCCCTGTCTGCAGCCACTTTCTTATTACCACCGTAGAGCAGTCGTGACAGACACCTGTATCGCACAAAGCCTAAAACATTTTCTTTTTTTCTGGTACCGCCAATTGAACTCACGACCTTGCGCTTTCCAGGCAGGTGCTGTGCCACTGAGCTATATCCCCAGCCCCAAGCCTAAAATATCTTCTATCTAGACATCTACAGAAAGTCTGCTGACCCCTGGTCCCCATCACCAACTTACATAGCCACCCACCATACCTACGTCCTTAACCTGGTTTCAGATGAGGAAAATGACACCTGGCAGGCTAAATAACTTGCCCAGGATTGTGGCTGAGTTTCTGAACAGTGCATCTGAGATTTGAACCCAGGTCTTTGTGACTCCATTGCTTGTGCTTGGTCCAAGAGGAGTCAAGATATATCATGTGCAGGTACAAATTCCCTATGATGAATGTGATCATTATGTAATCTAAACTGTACCAATAAACTTTCAAAAATTTAAAAAACAAAACATCATGCTATAGGCACCTGCTTAGAGGTGTGGCTTTGATTGCTTTTATCACCTTGTTTTGTTTTATTTAAGCTTATGTAATATGTGTACATAATATAAAGTCTGAAAGGTACAAACAGGCAGTGAAAATTAAATTGCCTTTTCTTCCTTTTTTTTGAGACAGTCTCTCT